CCATAGAGTGCAGCTGGGTGTTAGTGTATAATCCATTTTTTCTGCTAGATCCTAGTGTCAAGGAGATCTGGCAAGAGAGAACTGCTGTTTGCCCAGGGCACTGATGGATTTTCCCTTCTTAGCTGAGAGCACTGCAGGAGCAAAATCTTCCCCTGGCAAGGAGGGGCCATGTCCCAGCACCATCAGCCATCTGGACATCAATATTAGTGGGCATGGATACACATTTGGATGCTTGAAGGCTAAAGGAGCTTGTCCTATCAGCCAGGATCTGTCCCCTACTACACTATGGGCATTTCTCACCTGCCCACAGGAGTCCTTGGGGCCTAGAGGAGTCCATGAAGACTGGCCCAGCAGAAGATGTTAAATCTTGGAAACCCTGTGTGTTGGTTTTTTGGCCAAAACGTCTGTCCCAGCTGATGCTTTCTCTGGTATTCAGGACCATGATCAGGTCAAAGCCTCCACCCCACTGCTTCTGCCCTCAATCTGACCTTCAGATAAAGGCTGCCAAGACCCGGTCAGGCTGTGGTCACCATTCTTGGTTTAGATAAGGAGGCTTCACCACCTGCACCCCTTGCTGCTCTCCCAAGGGTTTTTGAGGCCATTGTTCCACAGGGATTTGGCACCAGTATTTGGCACAGAATTGAGGCAGTCCTGCCATGGCCCCTTCCCATCAGTGCTTTGTCCTGCTGAGGAATGGTTGATGGGGAAGGTTTTGCAAGACTCCACAAAGTAGCCACCTGGCTCCCTGTCATCTGAGCAGCACGGGATGGTACCTCCTAGCCACGAAACCCTGGGGAGATGCTGAACAAAGCTCGACTTGTATAAACCAAGCCAGCCCTGGTGAGGTGTCTGCCACCTCCCTGGCCTCGTGCCCTCCCTGCTCAGCCTATCTCAGCCCACATTTAACAATTACCTCCTCTCCACACAGTTCCCCAAGTGCTCTAAGAAATGCGGGCCAATTCCCCGCTGGCAACTCCTGTCTACCTCCCAGGAGTTACATCAGTAGAGAGTTGGACCATGCATATCTTCTGTGCAGCACCTGGCTATGTGGTAGCCAGCACCAACCCTGAGCCTGCCAGGGGTGATCCTGGGCATCAGCTGAACATTCCCAGGAAGCAACAGCATCCCTTCTATGCCCCAGCAAGTGAAAGATGGTGCCTTGCCCTTGAATTACAGGGAACGGGGTTCTGGCAGGTGCATTTACCTGAGCTGGAAGTGGTCCAGGGGAGTGGATTTAACACCCTGGCTCTGGTTGTAAGAGAGCATCAAGCCAGCAGGGCATAAGGCAGCATGTTGTGGCTGATACTTCGAGTATCAATCCCAACACAACTCAGCACTCTCGCGGAATTGTGCTGATAGTCCGGCCCATCCACAGTGTGCCTGCCCTTGGCTAACAGTGCAAAGACACTGTGCAGAGAGTCAGCCTGAGGTACCTGGAAGCCACCACCCACACGTCCAGCTCTGTCCCCCTACTGCCAGCATGCACAGCTCAGCACATGAAATCTGGGTGTTATGGCCAGCAAGAATCACTCCCACAAAATCAAGTGTCTCTCAAAGCATTGCCACTGCATGTCCTGGGACAGCCATGCCCAGCTGCCATGCCACAGTACTGGGCTCACCAGTGCTCAGGCTGGTATTGCCATTGGGTGTGGTAGTGTGGGCTGTCCCGTCCCTCCCTCTCCCTGTATGGACGCTGCACTGTCACCATGGGAGTGAGTGGCACTCCTCTCCATGCTGGCAGGACACAGGCCACCTCCTTCCTCAGAGGGACCCAGCTCTGCCAGGCTCGGCATGGGAGGCTTCTGGTGACACCAGGCTGGGCGAGCAGCGAGGAGCACGGTGATGGTGAGCCAGCACCTGGGAGGAGGGCCCCAGAGCTCAGGAGCAGGTGCTCAGGGCTGCTTACTGGGGAGTGCTGGAGGGACTGGGAGGTACAGCAGGGAGCAAGGGTCTTCTGCACCCATCTCTCCCAACTGGGACAATCCTCCTTCACTCCATCTTTTCTCCCAGTCCTCTTCCACCCATGCAGTCTCCTCAGCCCCTGCCTTCTGCTTCCCACACACCTCCTCTTCTCTTCAGTGGTACCCAAGGGACCTCTGGGTAGGGCTGAGAGCAGCTGAGAGCTGGTGAGAGACTGGAGAAGGGGACAGGACTGGGGGACACTGCAATGATGTAACATCCTTGTGCACAGAGTAGGACATCCCCTGTGATACTCTGGGCTCACTCTGCAAGAGATTAAATCACTGGGGATCTTCTGGTGATCTCTTATTTTGGGCAGCCTCACCTCCCTGACTGGTCTCGAAGAGTGTCCATCACTAAGGTATACAAGTGCTCACACTTAGTCTGTTGGTTCCGGAGCAGACACAACCCTGAAGTGGTGGTGTGAGAGTGAGATGGGTGGTGATATGGCCCAGGACGGTGATGTGGCCCTGCCATCCCCTTGTGCCTCTCTCTGCCAGCCCTTCTGGGCACGAGCTGGCTCTTTTATTTCTTGGATGGATGGTGCCAGTCTGGCTTGTTTTTTTGAGAGTCCCTGTGCCCTTACCCATCCTGGAGAAGGAGAGGGAGCCAGCAGCTGGCCCAGGGGCTGGAAAAGTCAAAGAGACTCAAATACCCACCGGGAGGTGGAAAATGGCCCAGATCAGGAAGCACAGCAAGGTGGGGTGTTGACGTCTGCCATCTATTATTCCCGCTCTGCATCAAAAGGCTGAGATGAAAGTCTCTGGCCACAACCCTCACCACAAAAACGTGGACCCCTCTCCTGAAATTACTGCTCCCCTTGAAAGAGGAGAGTAATTTGCCTGAGCGGTGGAGGAGAAAGCCATGTTTACATGCCAGGTTTCAAGTCCTGTTCACCAGCTGCTTCAGGTAATTACATCGTTAGGAGGGGATGAGTTGCTGGGGCTTGGTTCTGGGGTGTTTGTTTATTTGCAGCCCCAGTGTGGGGCAGCTGGCAAGGGAGAGTCACTCTGCTGGCAGCTGGAGCACCACGCTCCCACTGAGCCTGGCTGCCTGGCTGAGGGATGCTGTGGTCCCTGGTGAGCATGGGGCCAGGCCAGCCCCAGGCTATGCAGAGGCACAGGGGAGAAAGGTGCCTGGTGGAAAAAGACATCTCCCCAGAAGAGCAGCGATGGAGTTGCATCCCCAAATACTAACGTGCTGGGACTGTGGCAACAGGAAACCTGCAACAGGAATGGGGAGTCAGGAGGCTCCAGGAACCACATGGATCACTTGTATCCACAGCTCTCCTCACAGCTTGAGCACCCCCTGAATTGTGCATGGGCTGGTCCCCAAATCAAGGAACAAAAGTGCCTCACACCCCTGCCCAGTTCAGCCTTGATTTAGAACTACACTTCACTGCAGGGCATACCTGCCATGGGGCATTCATATCGCAAAACTCCTCCAGGGATATCTCTTCAAGGCATCTCCTACAGCAGCAGCACCAGACTGCAGAGACTACACAAGGACCAGGCTCCCTCTCAGCCTGGGTGACATGTGGCAGGAACAGGATTTCTGGGTCCTATTCCCAGCCTGGCTGTTTCTTGCTGTGTTATCCATAGGAGCTCTTGTGTGTTGGCACCATAACTGACATCATGCATCTTGCAGGCAGGTTGTAGGGCTAACCTACTATCTGCTAAGTGTTTCCAGGGAAAAACTCCTTATCATCCAGCACATCCCAGGTTTCCCATTGCTGTCAGGCTCCTCTTTCAGCCCAACCAACACCACCTGAAGGGGAGCCCCTGCAGGTCTGGGATATCTGCCCTACAGCCAGGGCTGCTGCCAAGGGATCTTGCAGGAGTGGTTTCATCAGGCAGCCACATCAAAGACAGTCCAGGACACTCCATCCCGTGACAGGCTTTAGCATCCATGAACAGTGAGCATGACACATCATGACAGCACAGATTACTTCTCCTTGTAAAGCTGGGCAGCCAGTGTGTGCAGGTAGAGGGATGTGGGGCCAGTGGCAGTGCTGCTGCCTTCCACTTCACAGCCACTTCAGGTTTGCTGTAGGTTCTACATCTGGAGGCACATGGCAGAAATCTCCTGATTTTGCATCTCTCCTGTCACAGCCTCCACCTTCTGAGGACAGGTTATCAGCTCACCTTGCTTAGACTCTCCAGCACTGCAGACTCCTTGGTCCTGGCTAAAAGTATTTCAACATTCTGGTGCCTTCTTTCTAGCCCAAATATACAGAAATTGAACTCCTAACCCTTGTCTCTCAGGAGGTTTGGAGCACACCTTTAGCCAGCACAGGGCTATCAACACCAGCCCAGCTTTTCTCCCTTCCTCTGGCAGGTATTTACTCCAGCTGCTCATGGCAAAGGACTTGCACTGGAAATGTTATGGTGCTGTACATCCTTATTTTTAGGCAGCTGTTGCAAACAGCTGGAGATTTTGGCTTCAGCTTTTTCCTCATTCTTTACTTGAAGCCAGCCCTTCAGGATGCCCCCAGGGACATGTGCATCAGTACTTGGGCCGAGAGCACAATCAAGCACAGAATCTGGGGGCCTCTTGGGATGACACATGGTCGGGTGCAGGGAGTGTGGTCAGTGGTGTGGCAGAGGGGTGCAGCCTTTTCCAAGCAACAGGATCCTGCAGCAGGAGAGGTGCAGCTGTGTGTGAGCAGTATGGGTGAGGCTCACGTGGATATATATATCCCTGTGCATTTGACAGGCATGCAGTCCATGTCCATGCAAGCAGCAAATGACAGAAGTCACTAGGCACCACTACTTGTGTTTGTCTTTATTCTTTCATTATGTTGCACATCTCCTCATTTCTCATCGTCAGCAATTCCCTTGGCATTAATTCAAGCAGTGACGCTAAGGCTGGAGGGACCCAGCCAGTAAGACCACCCAGCCCACTCCACGCCTCAGGCCAGACCCCTTGCACCCCCGATGCCAGGGAGAAAAGGGCATTCTTCCTCCCTCCTTCCCCGCAAGACCCGTGCGCTACGTGCAGAGTGTGATGGGGAAGTGGGTTGCTGCCGAGAGGGAGCTTGCCGTTCACCAGGGGAGTGGGAGGGCGAACTGGAAAGAGCCTCCTCTCCCGGTGGAGCACCACCGCCCAGGCTTGACGAGGTGTGAGCTCCTGCGCCACCCGTGCACGCCTTGGTTGCCTCTTAAGTGTCTGGGACAGGTATTCACGGTCCGGCGGAGCGTGCCCTGTCATGCCTTCGTGCCACGGCGCTTGGCAAGCGCCTCCCCTCCCTGCAGCTGCGGCTGTGCTGGAGCATTCCTCTGGGGAGGGCTGGCTCGTACCTGGAGGGATGGGGGCCTGAGGACACCCACCTCCTGCTCTTCTAATGTGCTCTTCTGCACCGCAGCACCCTCTTCACCTCTTCAGCTTGGTCCCTGAAGAGACACCCCACTGCAGCCGTGGAGTCACCACTCCCAGCCAGCACGGAGGTGTGTTCCCAGGAGCAATTTCAAGACTGCTGTGCAGTTGTTGGGAGCACCCTGGGATAGCTGTGCCCCTTCCTTCCTGTGGTGTGTCCGGGGTAGTGTGACCCTCCTCAGCTGGTGCAGAGCAGGAGTCAGATGTGGTATGGGCAGGGAAAACATAACGAGCCTGAGACCTCTCTGTCCCATTGTCCCCTTCCAGCTCCTTGCTGAGTGTGGATGGGGTAGTCCAGAGAAAGTCAGAATGCTTCCAGATGTAGCCAAAAAAAAATGGAGTTAGATGGGATCTTCCCAGAGGGGCAATATCTACGGAGATGACAATTCTGCTCCATGAGAGCCTTTGGAAGGGGAAGGTCCACAGAGTGACACTCACTAGGGGCTCAGAGGAACTCGGTGGCCAAGTTGCCTCTTTAATCTTGAAACTGGAGATAGGGAGAGGAAAAATCCTGAGACAAGAAGGCAAAGGTAGCTTCTGGTGCTGCCCAAGCTCAGTCAGAGTGATTTCTAGCTGAGCTCACCAGGTTCACATAAGCACAGAAGAGAAGGTTGGGGTGGGCAAAACTGAGATAAGGAGGAAGGGAGACATGGAGCACCCTCCATGGGCACAAAGTCTGCTGCCCCACCCGCTCCAAATATGAGAAGAGAGCCTGCATCTCTATTGAGCCCAGCATCCTTACAGTCATCAGTGGTGAACAGAAGGCTGCCAAGCTGCAGAGTCATCTGCTATGGGAAAGAATCCCCCTGTAGTGGCCTGAGCTGGGCATGGAGAATAGAGATATCCTAGGCACCAAGTGCCTTGAAAGTGCTGCAGTAGCCTAAATTTTCAGTTTGCCTAGGAGCAGTCAAACAAATGACACAGTGACCCACCAGGATGGATTCCAGCTCCATATGCCAAGTCCTGCTGCATTCCTGGTACCCAGAGCCAAGCCCAGCAGGCAGTATGGCACTTAGCAGAGAAATCTGGAGAGAAGGACCAAGCCCATATGGTCCCTGCAACCCCCACCTTTGTGACTCCAGAGGGGTGTCCCTAAGAGACCACCAAGGCTGATGCAAGTTCTGTTTGAGCTGTGTTCTCCCTGGCTCAACCAAGCTCTTGCCTGCACCTTATGGCTTTGCTCCTTGACCAGCCAGGTTCGTATCGCTTTTACCCCGCCCTGGGCCACCTTTCCCCAGAGCAGAGGGGACCATGTCTGCCATCTGGCCATGGCCCCAGTGGGTTGCGGCATCTCGGGGTGTGCCACGTAGCAGGGTGCCCCCGAACCCCGCGTGCGCAGGGGCTGGCAGGCACTGGTTAAGTCATGTGTTTTGTGTTGGGTTTCTCCCCCTCCTGGAAAGTCCCAGTGCGGAGCGGTGGGGCTGAGCCGACCGCACACAGCTGCGGGCCACCACATGAGAGGAGCCAGCTCCTCGGGGATTACAGAGCCCCGGGAGCCTGGGGAGGAGGCAGGAGCACCCGCGCCGTGGCTCTTTCATCTCTCCCCTGCCTCACTCCCCCTTTCATCTCTGCCTCTCTGGCCACGCTCTCTTTTTCCTCCGCTGCCTTTGCTCTCTTTGCACTTGGCCTCTTTTCCCTACCTTCCCCCCAGCCCTTCTCGCTGCACCTGGCTGTGCTGGCTGCCTCTGCCCTGCTCCTGTCACTCCCTCCTCCTGGACCCTGTGCTTTCATCCGCCGACCCCCAGCTGTCTGCTCCCACCCTCCTGCCCCAGTGTCCTGCCCCCATGCCAGATGTGCCCCTCCATCATCTCCCTCCCCAGCCCAAAACCTCCCTTTGCAATGGGAGAAGGAGAGAAGTAGCAAAAGGTCTGCCTCAGGTGTTCTCCATCTGTCCCCAAAAAGCTTTTCCCACTTTTCCCACCTGTCCTGGTGTCCCCACCAAGCAGCTTCCAGGCTCACATCCTTCCCTGCTGTGTCCTGTGCTGTCACAGCCAGGCATCCTCTTGCCTCCTCCATCAGCCTCATGGAAGCAATGAGCTGGGAATGCTGGTGGACTGTATTCACACAGTGGTCAGGGTTGGGCATTCCCTATAACAGATCAAGGGATAAAGAAAAATGCTGGGTACCCTCTTCTTGCGTGTCACAGACTTGTGCCAGGGGCCAGCGTTCCTCACAGTCTCCAAAAGGCATGGGATATCCCTGGTATTTTCTTGGCCAGAGGACCACATTTAGGACTAAGAGAGTAAAGAACATTTTGGTCCAACCATAACTGCAGCCATTACAGCAGGGGCACAACACAAGGTGAGTGGTCTAATGGTTAGAGCTCTCCCTCTAGTCCAGAGGCTCTCTAGGGAGACTTGGTGCCCATCTGCTTGGTGAGGATCTCAGCCATCGGGGTCTGGGGTGTGGAGGACCTCCACATCACCCCCTTCCCAAACAATATCAGCCTCCTTTCTCATGCATCTCACCACCTGCTCTCACTCCAGTGCACCCGCTGCCTCTGCTCAGATCTTCTTTCTAAGGGGTTCAGTGCACCCCAAACTCTGCTCAGCCCCTATCTTTCCCATCCCTTGCCCAGCCTCCCCTTAGAGCTTGTCCTACCCCAGCCTTTGGAGCTGCCCTGGCTCCATCACAGCCCTCAGCCCAAGCCCTCCCTCTGCTCTCCATCTCCACATCCCACCCATGTCTAAACTCTGCAGACATGTGGCAGCCCCATGGCTAAAGGACTCCGTTGGAGGACCAAGGGCTGGTGCAGCTGTGGCTGAGCAAGGAGGCTGCAGTCTGCCCGGCCAGTGGTGACACTCCTGGGGTCTGGCTGCTGCCAGCTTATCTGGTACCTCAATGAGCTCAACACAGTGGTGGCTACAGCCTTCTCACTGGGTAGGTGACCCATCCTCACGATGGAGGGCAATGCCATTGGAATGCTGTGCCAGGGGGGTGGTGGGCAGGAGCTGGGCCTGGTGGAGGAAGCACAGGACTCCTGGGCTCCTATCCCAAGCCAGGTGCTGCCTTGCTGTAGGTACTTTGCCTTGCCAAGCAGGTCAGTCAGGGCCAAAATTTTTTTCTTTTTCGGGGGCTTGCACGGGTGCTGGTGCCAAGGATGACATGTTGGGGCTGAACGTCAGGAAAGCCTCGGAGCACCTCTCTGCATCTCAGCTCACAGCACAGTGCCAGCCAGGCTCTCAGGATGGGTCTCAAGCCATGGCTACTTGCTTCTCAAGCAGAGGAAGCATGGAAGCCAGTTGCCCAGACCAAAGCAGGAGAGGAGCTGCAATCTGCTCCCCTTGGATAAGCAGACACAATGGGGCTTTGCTCTCTCATGACTTCCAGTAGCCCAGGTGCCTCTGGCTGCTTTTGTGGGTCAGCAGCCTACCAGGCTCAGCCAGCCATCACTGCCAGCCCTGCCCATGTCCATATTCATGCCACCCCAGTGGGTGACACGGGACAGGGGGTACCACTGAGACAGAGCTGTCCACTCATGGCTCTGCTTCATATTGTGAGCTCTGATGGGAGCAGGAATGGAATTTGGATGAGGCTGGGCGTTCCCGTGTAGTGATTCCCCCAGGCAGGATCTGGCTCTGATGACTGTTCTGTGAGGGGAAGAAATACCAGAGGAGTTACTCACGGCTCACTGGGGCATGATGTAGCAACTCCTCATCGGTTCCCCCCACCCTCCAGCCAAAGTTCCTCCTGTGATCTCCTGGGGAAAGTCCCAGCCCCCCCACTACTCCCCTGCCACCCCCAGAGACCTTCCCCACCCTTGCTGGAGCTTTCCAAAAGCAAGAGATGAGCTGGGGCTTTGGGTGAGAGGAGAAAGGACCCAGCAACCTGCTATGCTGGAGGGAATCCACTGTCCCTTTGGCTCCTCCACTGTGTCTGTTGGTGGACACAAGGCCAGGGTCTGAGAGAGCACCAGCCTGGGGTATCCACATCTGGACAGCTGCAGATCTGGCTTCAGACCTGGCAGAAGTACAGACTGACCACGCCAGGTCAGGCCTCTCTATTGCCTTCTCAGCAGTCACGCTCAGGTCAGGTTTTCCCATCACTCTCCACAACCACAAGGGCAAGAAGTGAGATTTACTTTCAATTTACTAGAAGGATCTGAGAAGCTTTCCTGTCCTTGGGACCAGGAAATTCAAAATTTGAGAAAACCACTGGACTTCACATGGGTCTAACATAGCCACTGGGCGGGTGGTTCCCTCAGCAGCAGGGACCCTCAAGGATAGAGGAATTCATAGAGCTTGCACCAAAACACTTAATGAAACTGGAATAAGTTTTACCAGATTTTGCCAGCATGGACTTTCTGTCTTCTTTAGAGCCTTTAGTGCCCTTTTATGACACGCAAGTGAAAGGAATGGCGATTTCCTTTCTCAGTTTTGGAACTTCCTTCGTGATTTGCCTCTGTAGGAAGATGACAGGAAAACACAAAAAAAATCTGGTCCCCTCTACTGGAAACCACCTTCATCATCTACCTAGGCTGTTCTACACTGATAGTCATTCTTCTGTCTTGGGTGAAGGACTTTGAACTTTCCCACTTCAGCCCAGAACTGTGTGCAGTGCTCTGCAGGGTGGAGATGTCCCTCATGGGGCAGTAGGGGGCCGTGCACCAGAATGTGCGAGGCTGGAGCAGCTCAGCAGGCTCAAATAGTCCCTCTGTGTGAGGAAACATGACTCTTTGGTGGGACTGAGACATATCCCATTGGTGGATCAAGGAGGGTGGTTCATGGAAGAGAAGTTTGGAAGTTCATGGAAGAGAAGTTTGGAATGCCCAGACCTCGGGTAGCCAAGCCCTCACTGGCAGCTGGCTCTGGAAGCTCAGTAGTGGCTGTGGGGAA